ACCCCCTACACCCCCTCCCTATCTCTGTCACCCCCTCCCGGCCCCCAGGTGGGTATATCGGGGTGATCTTACCGTGTGCCTGACCTGAATCCACGTTATGCGACGTCCACGTCTGGTGTCCCTGGGTGGGAGAGAGACAGAAAGAGATTGGGTTTAACGGCCTGCGAGGACACTCCAGCCATTTGGATGAGAGGGGGTGTGCATCTGAGGGCGAGCTTTTGAGATTGTGTGTGTGTGAGAGAGAGAGTGTACGTGTGTCTGTGTGCGTGTACATGTGTGTGAGTGAGTGAGTGTGTGTGTGAGTGGCGAGTCTGCACATGCGCATCTCTCTGCGTGTGCGCACGCGTCTGTGTGCGCCCGCGTGTCTCTCTGTGCACGCGTCTGCGTGCGCGCGTTCCTGTGTGTGAACGAGTGAGTGCGTGAGTGCGTGCGCACGTCTGCCTGTGCTCATGGGCGTGTCTGCATATGTGCAAATCTGTCCACGTACGTTTGTGAGTGCATGTGTCTGCGAGTGCGTGAGTCAGCACATGTTCGCATGCGAATGAGCACGTGTCTGTATGCGCGCACACGCGTCTCTGTGTTTGTGTCTGCGTGTGTCTCTGTGTGTGTGTATTTGAGTGTGTGTGCGCGCACGTCTGAGTGTGTGTCTGTGTGTTCGTCTCTGTGTGTGCGTGTGTGTGAGAAAGAGTGAGAGAGGCATGGTGGGTCAGTGATTAGCACTGCTGCCTCACAGCGCCAGGGACCAGAGTCCGATTCCACCCTCGGGTGACTGTCTGTGTGGAGTTTGCACATTCTCCCCGTGTCTGTGTGGGTTTCCTCCGGGTGCTCCGGTTTCCTCCCACAGTCCAAAGATGTGCAGGTTAGGGTGGGTTAGACAAGGGAAATGTAGTGGTAGGGGAATGGGTCTGGGTGGGATGTTCTTCAGAGGGGCGGTGTGGACTTGTAGGGCCGAATGGCCTGTTTCCACACTGTACGGATTCTCTGATTCAGAATGTGCTTGTGAGAGAGATATAGTGAGAGTGTGCACGTGACAGTGTGCGCGGTGTGTGTGTGTGAGTGTGAGCGAGTGTGTGACTGTATGAGTGTGTGTGGAGTGAGAGTGTGAGTGTGCGTGTGAGTGTGACTGTGAGTGTATGTGTGTGTGAGTGTGTGGAGGCTGTTGGTGCCAGCCTGGTACTCTCCGATCAGTAACTGACCTGGCTGTGCCCAGCCTTGCCCTGGAGCGTGGCGTGGAGGGCCCTCAGAGACTCATTCTCCTTGTGAAGCAGTCTGTTCTTCTGACACAGCTCCTTGTGTGTTCCCATGAGCTCAGCCTGTCAGCAGGAGAGAGGGGGAATGCGTCAGCCCCACACAGACTGGCACAACAGGACAGATGCTCCCCCCATCGCCCACACCTTCACCTTTGCCTGTGAAACATGGCTGGTCAAGCGAGCAGCACTGCCCCCCGACTTCGATTGGCACCACATCCACAAACATCCCGCTCTCCCCGCCGCTCAGGCACAGTCGCAGCAGTGTGTACCATCTACAAGATGCCCTGCAGAAACTCACCAAACACCCTCAGGCAGCACCTTCCAAATCCCACGACCCACTTCCATCCAGAAGGACAAGGGGCAGCAGGTACATGGGAACACCAGCCCCCTGCAAGTTCCCATCCCAACTCGGAAATATATCCCCGTTCCCTCGGTGCGGCTGGGTCATAATCCTGGAATTCCCTCCCTAAGGGTCAACCCACAGCAAACGGATAAGGAGGCAGCTCACCCCCCCCACCCCCACCTTCTCAAGGGGGCAACTAGGGACGGGGTGATAAACGCAGGCGCCCAGCCAGCGACACCCACATCCCACACATGAATAAGAAAAAGATGGGCTTCCCTGACAAGAGGAAGTAGATTCATGACTGTCATTAGACTCGAAATTCATTAAATTCCACCAATCAAACATCGGCAGGACTCCATCCCCAGGACATCAGCCGGGTTTCCACATTAACCGCCCACTAACAATATCACACGGCCTTTAAGTCCCCCTCTAGCCCTCCCCAACTCGGTAACCTCCTCACCCTTTCTGTCCCCCTCTGTCGCACAGTATCTCTCTGCCTACCTCACAGCTTCCCTCGCTCAGTCGTCCTCTCTGTTGCTCCTGCCCACCATCCCTTCGCCTCCCTTCAACAGCTCCGTTTCAGCACCATCCCTTACTTTACTTTTGCTCAGTCTGCCTCCATTCACCCTCCCTCATCGCTCAGAACCTCCCACGGGGCGGTGGGGTTAGTGTGGGGGTCGATATGGGGCTGTGGGGAGGGAGCGGGGCGGTGGGGTTAGTGTGGGGATGGATAGGGGCTGTGGGGGGAGGGAGCGGGGCAGTGGGATTAGTCAAACAGTGGATAGTATTGGTTTGGCAGTTCACCATTTGTTTCTGATTCTGTTGCTGAGCCTCAGCAAACCGTTCCTTAATTCTCTCAACTTCCAGCGTTGAAACATCAATCTTCTCTTTCAGTATCGACAGCTACACAACAGAGAGCAAATATTACCCATTAGTCATACAGCCATGAGCAAATGCATTGTTATTACCCTCAGAGGGGGGACTGAGAGACACCAGTCAGTGTACAGATATCTCCCTGTGAGAGAGAGAGGGGGGACTGAG